AAACATATGGCGGCTCCGATACTTTCCATATAAGGAGACTGGCTTGTAAACTAAACAAAACGCTGCAGCTGTTCAACAATAAAAATTTTAGGCGCGGTTTGGCTTGAAGGGGCATTTTCTTATGGTTAGTACCATCGATCACTGCCGACGTCTCACGCACTGCGAACTCTTGTCAAAGCTATGTACTTGCAAATGAGTTTAGGCTGCGTTTATACTTTGCGGCAGCGTAGCGTAGCGTAGCGTAGCGTAGCGCTTCCAGCGTACGCCAGCGGCAGTGCCGAAGAGAGGATGCATATCGATCTAGCTTCACCAGCGTCACCAGCGGCACGCTGGCGTACGCTAGCGTGCGCTAGCGGCACGCTAGCGTACGCCAGCGGCACGCTAGCGCACGCTGGCGTAGCGAGGGCACGGGAAGCATAGCTATCGATCTAGCTTCACCAGCGTTTCTCGAGCGTTTCTCCAGCGGCACCAGCGTTTTGCTAGCGCTTGCAGCGGCAGGGAGTAGAGACTATGTGGCCGTCGGAGACGCAGAAGCGATGTGCATTGTAGAGACTATGTGCCCGTCGAAGACGCAGAAGCGATGTGCATTGTAGAGACTATGTGCCCGTCGAAGACGCAGAAGCGATGTGCATTGTAGAGACTATGTGCCCGTCGAGACGCAGAAGCGATGTGCATTGTAGAGACTAAGGGCGAGTGAGAGACGCGCAATCGATGTGTTTGTACCCTCCAGCTCTCCCATAGTCTCTACTCCCCTGCCGCTGCAAACGCTAGCAAAACGCTGGTGAAACGGGAGAAACGCTGGCGTACGCTAGCGTGCGCTAGCGTACGCCAGCGTGCCGCTGGTGACGCTGGTGAAGCTAGATCGATATGCATCCTCTCTTCGGCACTGCCGCTGGCGTACGCTGGAAGCGCTACGCTACGCTGCGCTACGCTACGCTACGCTGCCGCAAAGTATAAACGCAGCCTTCCGCCGAAAGGAACTAGCAAAAGCAACCAGCGAAAGAGCAAAACGCACACTACCCCTTCCCTCTCAAGCCGAGCAGCGCCCATTTTGTCCACAAATACCAGCGTATGGTCAATGGGTTCGACTATGAACTATAATCATAAGACCGTGTTAGCGAATGTGAAGAGTCCACAAATTCCGGAAACCAACGGCGAAGGGAAGTTTTTGCGTCGAGCTACAGAATTTGTGATTCAAGTGGATGCGCGAGTTTGGGGAATCGGCGACAAACAATCAGATGGGGACCGATCGCTCCACGAAGCAAATCCAAATGCCCCGAATCGCGAACATTTTAAAGCCCTAGAAATTGTGCAGATTCTCCACATTCACGAAGTATGAACGTAAGGCAGCGTTCACACTTGTAGCGCTACAGCGTCGCGCTACTGCGTCGCGCTACAGGCGTCGCGCTACAGCCGTAGCGCTGGTACAACTGGAGTTCGGTACAACTGTAGGGCAACAGTTGTACCGAACTCCAGCTTTTATGTTTTTTCTTTCTATATCATCCTCTTCTCTTTGTTTCTCATATTTATCTGATAGTGAGCTCCTGTTTTCTACTTTATCACATTTTGATGTAGTTTTTGATACAGAAGACTGTGATAATTGGTTTTATTTATCGTTTTTGACTTTAATTATTTGGTTTCACAGTTGCTTGATTTGATGGCTTTGCTTGATGTCTTGCAGTGCTGCCTCGTTTTGATCCCGATTGCGAAACTACATTAAAATGTGATAAAGTAGAAAACAGAGCTCATATTAGATGAATATTAGAAACAAAGAGAAGAGGATTGAATACAGAAAGAATGAATACGGAATCCAATGCCGCTTATCAATTATGGGGCGAAATCTGCTTTTAGAGTTTGCCCCCAATCTCTGCCTGGATCACAGGAAAAAGATTTATGCCGGTTTTCGAGGCATTCACAGCCAACAAAGCCTGACAATTTCTTGTACTTTTTTTGGCCTAGGAGAGTATCAGTATTGAGTCGCATTTGTCGGCAGCAGAAAAAAATGGCCTTATCTCCCACAACAGGCACGCGAAGACTGTCTGATCACCAATGCGTTAGCACAATGCAAACAAGAAGTTCCTTCATGGTTCTTGTGTCTCCGGTAAAAAAACATGCATGCGTGTTTTAGGTGGCGCGAGTACTCTTTGGGTGTTTTTTGCAGAAAATGCTCTTAATAGGACAAAGGACACTGTTACGCTAAAAGCAGTACCAGAAAAATAGTGACTAATGGAGTAACTGTCAAGGACGGTCAGATAGTTACAGCTGTATCAGTCTCACCTTTCCGTGAATTCCTCAAGAAAACTCCAACAACCTTCCTACTTTTCTCTGTAAGCAACTCTAATCATCCTAACGTTGGAAATTGCAGTACGTTGCGAAGCGGCGCCGTAGCGCTACGCTGTAGCGCTACGCTGTAGCGCGACGCAGTAGCGCGGACAGCTTGATTAGCGCGACGCCTGCACATTAGCGCGACGCTGTAGCTGCACGACGCAGTAGGCGCGACGCAGTAGCGCGACCGCAGTTTAGCGCTACAAGTGTGAAACGCTGCCTAATCTGATTGGCTCACCTCACGTAAAGTGGGCTTGTCTCGGAAGAAAGCAGTATTCAACCGATTCTTTGCAGGCTCAAACCTAGGATTGATGAATACTGCACCATGAGCCACAGCCTCCAGTGGTGCTGGACCTCAAACATAAACAAAATATTTCGCGAACAAAGAGGCATTTAGGCACAATCAAGAGAGGTGGTCAACGAATAACGAACCAAAAACAATAAATTAGGCTAAGAAACTTCTTAGTGATGTATGTACCAACCTTCGAATGGAAACCCAAGGCCTACAAAGATACTGGTTGATTTCAGTAAAGCTGCAATTCCCGTTGTGTTTAGAAAACCATGATTGACTATATCAGAAAACACGGATTCATTGGCATCCTTCAAGTCAGAGACAGTAGCATGCACCTAAACAAGTAAAGCGTACAGTAGTTACCAATTTCTCGAAAAAGCTTGATTCCAATTAAATTCAACCTCTGTCAAAGATTTCAGCACTTCAATGACAGGTTCTGCTTCTGTCCACATATACTTCTCCTTTCCGTACACCAGAGATATTGGTCGTTCGAGGGTCAGTGGATCATAAAGTGGTTCCACATTAGACTGATGAATTGCGAATCCGAGAAAATCGTTGTCTGGCGTATGAGGGAAGAAAGTCCAGTGCTGCAGAAGTTTCAGTCCATGTCCTCCCCAAGGATTAGTGGACGTGCCAGTGCCTCCTGTAAATAGTATAATGGGGAAAACTCACATTACTTTTGAGTACAAGTCTGAACTCCACCTATATCAAACACCCAACCTTTTTGAGCAAAATCTGCTTTGTGTTCTTTGAAGTATGACGCATAGTTGAACTCCACATGCGTTCCAAAACTGTCGACCAAACGTATGAGACACCTGCAATTTTCGAGTAAACCTCAAAGTGTCACAGAAAAATCAAGCCTCTGCATTATTTTCACAATACTGAAAGGTTCTACTAGTAAGCAGTCATTTAGAAAAGACGATGACTATGAGCTGGTTCATGGTTCGCGCGTGTCGAGCGATTGAAACCGAATGCCCAATGAACCATCGCTAATCGTTGGATCGCTTTAACGGCTTCAATCCAAATACATTCGCAACAGACAATAGTTTTGGACCAAGAAATTACAAAGAAAAATGTAAGGGTTTCTCCTAAGAGATAGTAATGTCTGCATTATTTCGAATATTGTAGATAATGCAGCATAATTGTATTCGAGTATTCTGTTTTAACATCGTATACATTTATTATCGTGCCAGTATACAGCTCCCGCGTTATTTAAACGCCATCGAATATCTCACTCAACTGTATTTCTCAATAATCTGTTTCTCTCGACTCCCCCTATACAAGGCCACGTTATTTTCTGCGGTCAGTCATTGTGCTATTCTCGACGGCACCGTCTGTATTCGTTTTTATCGCGAAGCCGAGTAACGAGTGAGTCTTCACTATCGCAACGCAACCTTCTTCTCGAGAAAAAAACAGGTTACAACCGCTAGACACGGGTGGAGCTGGACAAAGCTCGCTTACAAATAATAAATAATATCATATAATATATAGTGATATATGAATAAGATCTTCCATTACGAAAATAATTGGTATAGCCGTTGCAGCGTCCAACGACTAATGGTGGAGCTCACCCGCTCGACGCCCGCTCAACTCGCTAAGAATGAACGCCCCTTGAAGCAGCTAAAAAAACCCTAAGATACTCGTAAATACGTACTTGTTTCTTAAAAGAAAGTCCTTTCGCGTTCGGAACGATCGTAAGCCAATTATATCGGTGATGATCAAATCCACACGATTTTCACTCTGCATGGCAGGACATGGTCCGTCGATAGGGAATTTATGGATATGCCTGAAACGTTTTATACTTCCAAAAAAAAACTATTGGAATAGGTATACATAAGATTGCCGAATACTTATATATGTCAGTCAACATGTTAGCAAAGCCCTTGTGCCCCCAGACTCTAGAGAACATGGGTGCGTGCACTTAGATACCCGGGTGGGCGTGGCCACAGGGGCAAGGCTTCGAAATGGACCGGTGTTTCCCAAATTTGTGCTGCAATAGATATTAGACGGGAGCACCGTTTACAAGGTAAACG